GTTTCTTTGAACAAACAACACCATAACGCATTTCGAAGTTGCGGTAGACAAACGTTTAAGATATGGTCTACTCGCCTTATAGTTCCCTGAAGCACATGACTTTGTATTCTTATCGGTTTCGCTTGGGCTCCCGGTCTGCTTTTCTTTGTTGTTTTGCATATCAACCTTGTTTCTAGATTGCAAGTGACAACGAAAACACAGCACTGCACCTAATTAAAAATACGTTTTAGCACACTCATTCGCAGAGGTACTGCACTGCTTTCCTTATCAGGTTGACGTAACTGGCAGTGATTATGAGGCGTCTTATAAGCTCGAGGTAGTGAGAGAGTGCACTTATTTTTGTCCTTCATGATTTCTTTGCCACTGCCGTACCAGTGTGCATCGGCGCTGACACGAAAGCTAATTTTCAGTTATATGTAGAGCGTTTTCTCTGGAAGAAAGAGCACGCGGATTGTTCTATATCTTTCATTACGCTGCGAGGACAATAGTACATATTACTGAGCATTGCTGAATGCATTATTCTGATGTACGTATCTAATATTTACTACATATTGACGCGCTGCAGACACAACAGCTGTTTGCTTTGCCTATGCAATCTACTGACTGCATGTCACCGCGCACAGGGTTGTTTATGCTTGGTATTAGGGAAGAAACCCTCTGTCATTCATATTGAGTAACATGCCAACTCATCGTTGGCATATTGCCCACACGCTTTGTCAACTCGTCAGTTCTGTGGCGTTCTAAGCGTTTTGGTTAAATGCGTCTTCCGCTTACCCATTGCTGCTGTTGTTCCTTCTGTTTATCTATTGTCATGCACGGTCAGTCTCCCTCTCTCATACATACATACATACATACATACATACATACATACATACATACATACATACATACATACATACATACATACATGCGTACGTACGTACATACATACACACACACATACGTACGTACGTACGTACATACATACATACATACTGCTAAATCACACTTTCAACTTGCTCATTCGACGTTACGCATTGTCGTTGCACTGCTTGTTTTCATATCGGGGTCTTTGAATCCACGGATCACGCCTTTGCGCCTACACGAATCGGCCAGTTCAGCACTGGCGATCTGTTCGTCGATTTCTAGCTCGGTTCATCGTTTTCCATTCGCTGCGTGAGTTCGTGTCGCCCTCCAGCTGCGCCGTGACCCACTGGCCTTGGCCTCTGCATGCCATGGAACGCGGTGTCGATTCGTTAGTTATTGCAGTTTTTTTAATTTATTCGTTTTTTTCGATTTTAACGTGGCGGTTACAGAAAAGTGAATTTCGAGGATGAGTCACGGCTGCACTCAACACCCTTGGCTGCGAGAACTTATGACAGAATTGTTATTTTTGGGGGCCGCAGTGCCGCTGTTTTATTGTAGCCTGTCTGATGCGTGCGCGTTTTCTTGCTCCTCTCATACAGAAGTCAACTCAGTGGCATATAATTGGCGCAATAAATAATAAATATTCCACGGAATAATTCGCCCAACCTTATACAGTGTTGAGCGCTGTATACTATATGGGGCTAGTATGCCTTGTTGATGGCTATGTAAAGAGGTGGAGTAGCCGAACTGCTCTTCACGTAAACTTCTCCGTGACCACTGTTGTATTACCGAACAAAACCGAACAGTGTATAAAAGGAAACATCAAAAATACGCCACCTGTAACAAATATACGTACATCTACGAGGACTCGTAGACACTACGAACTTCTACGATGACTCTTGTATCTAGAAATGCACATTTAGGCACATGCGGTTTTCTTTTCTTTATTTAGTACCAAAATGAGACGTTGATGGGACCTGTCGCATCGTCACTTCCAACTGGTTCTAATGAAGCAGGACTGTCGAAAACTTCGAAACAGGGCTCAATTTTCCCCACCAGTCGAGTTGTCAAGTTATCCAATCGCACCCCATCTCAGTTCCCGTGCAATGTTAGCTAGTACATGACCTGTTGACTGACAATTGTCCCCGTCCACGACGGCTGAATTTCCTCACGGGCCAACCACACCTCCTCTCGTCATCATCAGCGTCTCATCCTCGCGCTCTTCTCCTCTGCGTAGTAGTGCGACCGCGTGTCTTCACCCTCTCCCAGGGTCGTGTAGTCCGCGCATGCGCGCGCGTGCGCAAGCCACGCCCCTGAAACGCATGGCGGCCGCCGAAAGTGCATCAGCGCCGCTTCGTTCTCCGCGCCAGTCGCGCGCCGCGCGCTACGCAAACTACGCGCACTGTTTCTGTTTCGCTTTCGCCTCCGGCCGAGTCCAGCGCGTGCTTTTCGTCGGCGCCCCAGCGTGGTTTGTTTTGTTGCTGCCGCCTCTCGTTATAGTGCCGCTTTCGGATGCGAAAATACCTCTCGCCGCGCAGCACCTCTTCGTCATTCGTCTCTCACGGAATTCCGGATCTTTCGTCACGTGCATCGTCGACTCACCGGGCAGTTCCTCCGCACGGAGCCTTCGCCATCGTGGGAGGAAGAATAAGCGTGTCTGCTGCAGCTGCGTAGACGGTGGTCGTCGGTGGTTCCATTTGGCAGCGAAGAGAGACGACCACGAATGTGCCTCGATAGAAGTCGACTTTGGCGTCACAATGTCACTCGCCTGAAGATTTCTTGCGGACCGGGACGTCCCCCACGGCCTGCCCCGGACTTCGCATTGGATATCTGTTTCAAATATTGATAATAGCATCAGTGCGCGCGCTATCATCCGAAATTGAGGTAGTTTCGGCCGTGCCTTAAAAAAACAGGAAATTAGCTTATTCGTATTCGCGCAGATTTATTTAAGCGAGCACCTGGTTAAAACGCGCGTCGCGCCCTACATGCGTTTGTCTCCGCATCGGACAACATCGCCCCGCGAAAAAAAAAAAAAGGTACACCGAGGAAGTGATCGGCGCGAGCGCATCGTATACTTGTTTCCCTAGAATCGCACCATCTCGGAAAGCGGCCGAATTTCCCGTCTTGTACTGCTTTTCCCGACTTCCTTCTCTTCGCGCGCTCATCAGAGAACGCAAATTCGCCCGTCGCCGCGCTCTCAAGGTCAGCGCCGCGATTATTGCCACTTTGACGGAAAACCGCGCCGCTTAGTTTTTGTCTCTTGTCGATGTAGTGGCGCCGGTAGTCACGCTTGGGAAAGTTGTCATAGCGCATCCTGCGGCTGTCACTTACGTCGTTGCTTCGTGCGATCAGCAGTGACTCTATTGTTCGTCGAGTTCGGCGAAGTGGAACAGAAAACAAAAACCTGGCATTGTCGCTGCTTTGCTCCGCGAGAGAACAAGCAGTGCATCCCGTCAGCGAACCGTGGCGAAGGCAGTGAAATTTCAGGTTGCGCTGCTATAGCCTTTGCATTGACTCGTTCGCTTTGATTTAGTTGTATGCCTTCGGTTCGCCGATACCAGCTGGCCCGGGCCACCGCTTTTCGGAAGCATTAGCAGCAGCAGCGTATAGAGTGGGCAGCGCATCATTGGAATTTAGGCCAAGCGTGTTTTGAGAAGCGAAAACAGTCTGCGTGCTGTCTCGCGCGTGTTTTTGTGTTTATACGCCGACTCCGGAAAGCAGATTCGAGGCGAATAGGCGCAGACCGGGAGCAGGAGGCAATAAGTAAACAAGCCTGAGATGTGTAATAATAATAATGAAAAAGAAAAGTTGCCGGAACCAGTGAGCCCCGCGAGATACAGATGTGTGCGCGCTAGAGGGTGACGTACGTTTCGAAGGGGAGGCGTCTGTAAATAACGGGAGCGCATTCCTGGGAAGAGAGAGAAAATAAGCGGCGGAGCCTGCCACTTTGCGCGTCGCTTCGTCACCGGTCGAGCGCGATACGTCGGAAGCACACTCCGTTTTCTCCTGAAAGGGGAGCGACAGATTTTTTAAGGATCTTTTTTTTTTTTCCTTCTTGGCGACGTAACTCCGCTGCTTTCAAAAGCCGCCTACAAATATTTTAATAGGCAACGATGGGGTCCCTTCGGTAGTATCCTGATGTAGACAAAAGTCAATATGCGCTGCTAACCGTTAAAAGAAGAAAAGCTTTAACAACTCATCAAATTCTGTGACGCTTATACTGCAAATCAGGAGTAAGAGCGCGGCGTTTGAGTGCACATTTATCTGCTTTCACAATTACCATTTCCCGTATATCTACCGTTTCTTGCTCTTGCGAAAGGTAAGGCTATCAAGCTAACGTTGAGAGTCAATGGTCAGTGTTTTCACGACGTTGTTACTACATATATATATGCACGTCCTGGCAGCTCTCACTGTACAAGAGACGAAGATGTCATCGTAACAGTCACGTCAGACGAGGAAATAATAATCGTCTCGTTTAAGTAGGCTCTCACTGCCACTTGCAGCACTGTTTGAAAGACGACATCACTTCGTGATGAATGCAGATTCCGAGTAAGCGCCTTCGCCAACAGGCAGCGCTCCCAGCGTGTTCCGTCAACGCGCGGCGCGCCACGCATTCGGGCTGCGGTTCGTCCTCCGGTGAGGGCGTGTGTGCCTGCGTGTATACGCACGCTTTGAGAGAGCGGAATCGCACACGCTGCCGCAGCAGCTGGTCGCCCGCTGGCTATAGAGCCGCGGCCGCTTCTCTGCGAGATCAGACGCCCGCATCCGCGCAGTCACTGCGTCGTCGACACCACCTTGGCCCAGCCGTCGCGTATCGACGCCGAGGATATCTAGGGAACAGTGCGTGGTCGTCACCTCGCCGTTCGTCGAGCCCTCAGCACTTCCTCGCAAGGGCAGGTCATCGGTGGGCGTCGTCACCTTTCGATACGTTTTTTTTTTTTTTGTCATATTCTCGCCGGATCGAGTCGGGGTCGGTTGTGCACGCCCAAGCTCTTTGTCGCCGATAGACGCAGCCAAGTCGTCCTCCCAGCATATCGGCTGCATATCGCACGGCCGAAATAGCGCGCGCGTCGTTCACGGGAGCGTCTCTCGCCCGTCTGCCTCGTGTTCTCTCCCACCTTCCCGCCGATTATAGTGCGCCGCGTGCGCGAATGATTGCCGCTGGCCGGTCGGCTGGCGATTCGACTTGTCCGTTTGTCTGCCGTGTTCGAGAGTTGCCCGTGCGGCGTCGCCGGTGCCCGACGTGCATCGCGTCGTGCTCCTCCCGCCTCGAGGTCGTTCCTGCGCGGACGCAACGGGGATCGACTGCAACGACGCTCGTTTCCCGTCGCGACGACAGCTGTCGACTGACGATCGACGTCGCCTTCTACGAGGAGTCATCGCACGACGGTCGGATACATCACCCGAGAAGCCCTTACTGAGGCGCCGGCTGCAGAGGCGGGGTCCTGGAGGCACCGTCATTGACCCTGATTTTGCTGCGTACCCAAAGAGAAAAAGATATCCTGGATACACCGGAAAACACACGCTTGCAACAAGGGAAGCTAACGGCGCTTGTTTGGAAGCATCTGTGTGCCGTGTGGTTTTGCCCGCTTTAGGCGCCACAGCTTTTTTTTTTTTTTTAACTGAGTCAGATTGCCCTGCCAGAGCGGATGCGGACGCAGCACGAGGTATCTCTCTGAGATAACGACTGTCAAGAGGCCGACCAGATGAAGAAAAGGAAACGATGCGCCGAGCTGACGTTCGAAATGTGCGCCTGAAAATTAAGCGAAGATGGCAAGGGCCAAAACTAGATGGCTTTCGAAACAGTATCGGCAAGCCTCGCAGATAACGTGCGAGGCAAAAAGCTGAGCAGATCATCGCATACTGATGACGCCGCGATAACGCCGGATTTCGACCCACGCGCTCTTGCAAAAGTTCGTCCGAAATTTGAGTGACAGTGTTAAACGAACTCGCCGCAACATGTGGGGCTGCCTGGGCAAGTCGAAGAAACGCCGCAAAGCGGTCATCAGCATAGTGCGCAGTCCATCGCCGGGCTGTCGCTGTTCCTGCCACGGACAGTCCTTGCAACAGCGCAAACAGGTGAGCTCTTGACGTGTTGCTGTTCAGCGCATGCATTGTCCCCGATTCGATTACTATATGCGCGATGCCGCGCAGTGTTCGTTCAGCGCCGTTGCCATTTAAGTCGTCGAGAAATGTCGATGACTTGCTGTCACACTTGGCACTATCACACCTGGCCTCTTGTCACGCGAAGCAATTACGGATGATTGATTGTACGCATGCGAGCTCCGATGACGATTATAAAGCCTGATTCTCATGATGAGCCGATGGCGGATATTGCTGTTATTTTAATACAGCTGATACGTTTCCGATAAAAGCATATATTGCTGCTATCTGAAATAGGTGATAGGTTTTGTTAGTGGTGGAAAAAGGCTTATTGTCAAACTAGCTTAAAATAGCAGAGCTGAGCTAGTGTGTAAGTGTCCATTCTAAAAGATAGGGCTGGTGCCCCGCCGCGGTGGTCTAGTGGTTAAGGTATTCCGCTGCTGACCCACAGGTCGCGGGTTCGAATCCCGGCTGCGGCGGCTGCATTTTCAATGGATCCGGAAATGTTGTAGGCCCGTGTGCTCAGATTTGGGTGCACGTTGAAGAACACCAGGTGGTTGAAATCTCCGGAGCCCTCCACTACGGTCTCTCATAATAATATGGTGCTTTTGTGACGTTAAACCCCACAAATCAACCAATCAAAGACAGGGCGTGCAAATGTGGCCAGTATAAAAAAAAAACTGAGGACGAAAACCCTAGTTTTCGCTCAACTAACATCTTTATTGTGTCCGTGTCGTCACGTCCTGTCATTCAGAACGATAGAAGCGCCCACCGTGTAGGTGCAGCGCTGTTATGCTCGAGGACGTGGGTTTGGTTCCTGTCCACGACGGCTGCATTTAGGTGGAGGTGAAATGAAAGAACTCCATTGTCTTTAGGTGTACACGTTCACCCTGAGTAGTCGGTGCTGCGTATACTATAGATGCTTCAACATCTTAGCAATATATACCTTATAAAGGATAGTTGGTAAATAAATAGCTAGCGTATAGGGACAGTATGCACCATCTGACGTGGTTTAATTAGAGTGAGTCTATGACGGCTATGCATTGAAAAAAAAAAAGGAACTACAGCGCCAAGGTGTGCCAGATAATGGGCTTCTCCAACTTGCACTTAAGTCGAAGTACGCGGGCGTTTTTTTTTTTTTTTCCGTAATGATATTCGACTGCTATGGCCGGGAATCGTAAGCCACGCCTTGATGCGTAAGAGTTCTATGTCATGTCCATCAAAGCACAGATGGTCGGTTTTGTCGCTTTCACGTTGCAGATAGCGAAAAGTGGCAAAAATGCCCGTCCACCGTGCCCGTGGTGTTGTATCTACAAGCTCCAATTTCCTATAGTGGTTTTGCTGGCACTTCTCTCGCGCCATGCTTATCTTCCACGAAGAAAGCGGGCTGAAACGAAGTTGAACGCTGTGGCCTAACCTTCTGATTTATGCGGGTAAGACAGGAAAGCTTATCATGCAATAAGTGCATGTATAGTGCCGCGATAAAGCGGCGATGAGAGCACGGCCTTGTCTGTCGGGGCAACGTCGCCCTTCGCCACAAACCTATCTATTGCACTCCATGCAGTGCGCAAAGCTTTATTGGCGAAAGCACGGTAAATAGGCGTCAGGCGTCCACAGCACAGGGACACTTGCGATAAATAAATCTGACATATTTTAATCCTTTCGTGAAGAATGATTGATTGATTGATTTGTGGGGTTTAACGTCTCAAAACCACCATTTGATTATGAGAGACGCCGTAATGGAGGCCTCCGGAAATTTCGACCACCTAGAGGTTCTTTAACGTGCCCTTTCGTGAAGAACAACAAAGATGTCTGAAACAATGAGGAAGAAATTTTAGTATGAATGAAAATACGGCAGATCTCACGTATAGGCTGAGAATAGTAGGCTATATCCACTCTGCACGCGGGTAATGAAGAAAAAGTTAGAGATGATGATAGAATGTCATTGTTGCAGTGCAGCTGAAGTAACAGTTCCGCATTTCATTAGTAAAAGCGCCAGCGATTTTTCGTTGCCTTTTGAAACTGTTGTCAACATTCCCATGGTCCCTGTGTCTTCTCGGCAGTGAGAGTGTTTCCGTCGAGATTATTTAAATCAGCATGGAGGTGAAGCCTCGCGCTTGCGTAAGTTGTGGCAGCAATGCAAGAGGCGCTCAATAAACTAAAACTTATATGCGTGGAACGATGAGCCTGGACGTATTATGTGCTGAATAGTTTCTTTGATTTTTAGCAGCGTATAGTTGTTGCGCTCGGGGCCGTCGGCTTCTGTAGATCTTAAATGAAACTTTTTACACATATTGATTGATTGATTTGTGGGGCTTAACGTCCCAAAACCACCATATGATTATGAGAGACGCCGTAGTGGAGGGCTCCGGAAATTTCGACCACCTGGGGTTCTTTAACGTGCACCCAAACCGGAGCACACAGGCCTACAACATTTCCGCCTCCATCGGAAATGCAGCCGCCGCTGCTGGAATTCAATCCCGCTACCTGCGGGTCAGCAGCCGAGTACCTTAGCCACTAGACCACCGCGGTGGGGCTTGCCCGTATTGTCCGAAACAAGCTGCGTAAAAGTGGAACAAGGCTGACACCTTGCGCTCGCATCATATACTGCCTGTACATTCCATGCACAGGCTGTATATAGCGGTAATGTTGGTACTTGCTCATACAGTCAATATAGTATGGCATTCCTTCGAGATTCGTGTATGAAAACACCGCACTGGCGAACAGCGAACGACTTAGCGTTTTGCTCTGGCCACTTTTATTAATGTAACGAATGAGCCTCCATCATGTCACATGCTGTTCCCGCGTCCTTCATTTTATAAAAAATGGAATGTAACTATGACTACACAAAAGCAAGCCTCAAATACGGTTTCATATCCATAGGTGAAATCGTATGGATTTCAGTACCTGCCTTACGCTGAAACGAAAAAGAATTGTTTTTTTTTTCTTGAAAAAATCACTCGATATTCGTGCACGTAAGGTTGCCGACGAAGACCTCATGAAGCGGGTCACGAAAAAGAGAGAGAGAGAGAGCTTAATTGATGAGGCGACCAGGCCCCAGCGGCCGTCGGCAGGTCGCCTGACTTCGCTCGCAGTCGCTCTATGACGGAGTGGCGATCTTTAGTCCTCTATCATCGACGTAATTACACTCGGGCCTACATATACGACAAGAAAAAAAGAAGAGGCAACGACGACACTATACTTATGCAAGTGAAAGCGCGTACTTACACGACACAAGTCGTGACCTTCGTTCTCTCCAATCTGCGGGTGACCTGGGGAGGCTGGACAGTCAGCAGTATACAACAAGGCCCTTTAATTATTTATTTGCCTGTCTATTTATTTATGTATTTACCATAGCGTTACGTCAAAAGCTTTAAGATATGGGGGCGGGTGTGTGTAAGAGGGGAGCGGCTCACGAAACTGATTCCTTTGCACGCGTATTGAAAGCTTGCTTTTAGTAACACTTTTTAATAACAAGTAATTTAACCGTAAGCTTTCGCAGTCACAAAGTAACTATTAGGTTATTCGGGTTGGTGATTCTGCACAAAAAGACTAAATACTCAAAGCAGTCGATAATTTTTCAGGGTGTAACTGTCTATGATCGTCTACTTCTGCAGCGTGGCATTTATAAAAAATATGACGTGTAATTGCCGTAGTAGTGACCATTGGCTTTTTGTAAAGAGAATATACCTGCAAACGCAGATTTTATCAGTCACTGGTTCTTTTCACGTGCATGTTTCAAGTGACATGACATTGTCTTATTTGGCACACAAAGTTGATAAAATCGTTGAGTACCTAAGTTATGTTCTCCTTTTAAATCACTTGCGTCGCCAGAAAGCTAACGTCGTTCAATAAAATTTATGTATGGGCGAAGCGACCATTGCTTTGCTGTGAAGTATAAGTGAGTTTTTTTGAGGCTTGAGTTTCTCTCTCCGAACTTGGGTGTTGGCCGTATTCGAGCGAACGCGGAAGCTTCGTGCGCGCCGAATGCGTTGAAGTTTATGGTCACATGGGTTCGAAATATGCATAGACAGCAAGGATAGCGTAAGAAAAGCTTCGTTTAGGCAACTTGACTGCATGGTATCACCTACCAGTGCAATAACAGCACCTATAGTGTATATACTTCATGCTTCGAGAGGCCCCTTCTCATTTCGCAATGTATCTCAGACTCTTTCCAATGCTCAGATTAGAAAAGCCTAGCTCTCTTCGGGAGTGAAGAATGCGACAACCGGAGCGATGTTCGTCACGAAGTGGCGTTCCGATTGCGCAAACCGAATGTAGGTCTCGCTTATCTACGAGGAGGATGGGATTTATCTTATCCTCAAGGGACAGGTGGCGTTTACACATAGTAATGCAACGATATGTTGAAACCGCGCCACTGCTTTTGTTTATAGCATAGAAAGTCGTCTCGACCGTGTCTTCCGAGGAGAGCGGGGTGTTGCGATCTGTCGGTCTATCGGCGGTTATACGAGGTGCGTGAGTTCGACTCTATTTTCCGTGTCGCGTAAAACACCGCACCGGCATTGTTTGCACGATAGTGGCGTTGAGAATAGGAAAGACGTTTGCTTCTGCAACGCCAAAAAAATGATGGCCATGGCGTTATACAGACGGGGCGATTGCCTGGAAGGATGTTGGCTCAACCGCGTCGGTGGGGTCGGTAACTTCAGCAAACGAGGGAGAAGGGATACCTTCGCAGAAGCCGTGTTCCTAGTATGCCTTTGCAGACGGCGGTGGATGATTCATTGCACCCGCCGCGTTGAGCCGTCTTGCCGGGACCCACTGACTGGAGTCCTCGTCCTCCGCGTTACTGTTCTCGAGTCGTCGACGTCGTAGCGTCGCTTTTGTCGTCTGCGAGGCCCCTGTTCCTGTCCCAGTGGCAGCGGCGGGTTGGCGACACCTTCAAGTTCGTTAGCGAAACAATGGCACTGCTGCTCGGTCGTTAAGCCTCGCACTTTTGTGCTATGCTTTTTTTGAGG